AAAAAAAAAAACACATATCTAATCTTAATGAATTTTGATGTTCAGTGGATGAATAATAGATTTTCAAAATGCGTCTGGCAGATCAGAAATACGGAGCTGCCCATTTGAACGACGTCTGACTTAACCCCTTCACTCGCTTTCTCAAACCCGGCGGCTTACGGTTAGTCCGAACGGAGCAAAGTCTGCGATACCCTATCGAAAAGCCGTACAATCTTACGTGAAGACAGAATGGTCAGCTTCCGCTAACATCAGGCTTCCATCCCAGAAACTGTCACCAAGTAAGGATCTCAGCATTACCAGTGAAAACCATGCTACAAAAAAAAGTAATAACCTATTTTACTTTAATTATCATTAAGCGTTACCCGGCTTTTAATTTTCGGTAACTTTTCTTTTTTGTCTTATAGATAACTCGGTTCATCAAAGGCTGCAGTCCCTAATTTTTCTTTCTTATACCAGATTTTGGCAAACTGAAGTTTTTTAACAAGCGGCAGCTGCATATGGAAAGATTTTTGGCCAAAACTGTCCTCTGATTACAGAGGTGATAAAAATAAAGCTAAGGATCGATTAGAAAAAGAACTCAGAAATTTCTCGTACACTCGTCATTTCAGTTTGACCATTTACAGGTATTTCCGTGTCGATCACATGGCAAAAAACTGTCTTTATGTTATCGGTTTTCGTTCTAGTGAAGCTTCTTACCGGGATCAAACCACTAGGATTTTTCATGGTGACCAGAATTCAATCACAATTTGCATTATAGCCAACGACGTCTGTTTACCCGCCAATAAAAACTTTATTTCAAATCAAGAATGGTTTTAAATGCGGCGTTCATAATGCACTATTCAGTTTTACTTAAAAAGAGAAAAGATCATTAAAACTGCAAAGTATATACGTAGAGAATGATCAATTAAAACTGGAGAGACCATATATGATGCTGTATATTGTTGAAAACAACGTGGTTTGACGAACACCCAACCTTGTCATCACCAGAGAACAGGCAGGACAACAACAACAACAACAACGTCAAATCAATGGTGACAGAGACGGACAAGATGTATCATCATCCTGCAGTCGCGATGCTGAAACACGTCAGCACAAATGTTTCGGCGGCAAGAGAATAGCTGCGCTTCCAAAATATTGAGCTGTTAGAAAAAAATTTTTTGA